CCCCCCCCCCCCTCGCCTTCCCCCCATATATACCTTCACGTTCTTGGAATCGAATCACGGGGGGTGGGCACCACCCAACTTTCGCTTGAGCGCAGCTGGGCAGCGGCTTCTGTCATGCGGTCTGGGGAGGCTTTATTACTGCCGGTGTATTGTGGGTTTCTTCCACAATTTCTTTCTCCCAGGTTTTAATAATGTACCGCTTTCTATCCACGACTTGGCTTGGTGTTTTTGCTCAGAGAAGTATTGGATTCGAGAGGGGCTCGGGTAACAAGCAAGTCTACAATTTCCAACACTTGAGGGTATAAGACGAGTCTTCTTGTCGCTCAAGGGATATTGGACGAGCTCCCGTAGTCTTGCAGACCTTTCTCTCAAATTCCAACAGAGGAAAGGAGTGCGTGGAATGGAAGTGCTAGTATGCATGCATCCCCAGCCTCATTTTCAATTAGAAATATAAGTACATGGTTTTGACACTTACTTCTTACATGCAATGGGCATTGTGCGTAGAAGAGAAGGGATTTGATGTTTTCGCTCAAAAAGTCTGCGAAGTAATTCTCTAACACCGCCTCCACTAATCTAGCCCAAGACACATACTGCCACATATGTTGTAGTCTCGATCCAAGAAATGGTGCTCTAGGCAGTTTGAAGAGTTGGTTTTGCTGTCGATATTTTACCTCTTGCCGAATCGCTAACTTTCGTTCGAATCTTAAGGGGTGGGTGTGAGCGTTGTTTGGGTATGGTATTATTAAACACTTGGGACGCAGTTACTTTCGCTCCTTGATAGTCATTGTTGTATGCCGTCTAGTAAGCCCACTGTGCCAGTCTATCCCAGTCAGTCCCGATCTGCCAATAAGACTCCCTTGGACCCGTGCTTGTGCAAGGTCGGAATAAGAGGTCACCAGCAAATATCAAGTGTTTATGAGTACTCGAATTCAGTGTTGTTGTCTCGGGAAACTGCGGATTACGGACTAGAGCATGGAGGTGGGAGAAGAGGATAAGAATTGCGGACTTGGAAGTGAGTAAGAGACTTGATTAGCTATAAAATGCATGTTTCTTTGGGACATGATTCTTGATTGGTCTTCGTGCAAGAAAGTTTCTGGTCTTCACTTATTAAAGACCTTCGTTCTGGATTGTTAATAAGCATATCTAGGGATACTGATTTAAGTGAGCCCACGTTGGGTGATCAGGATTCAATACAACCAAATTCAAAGTTCTTATTAGACTTAGTAGATACGGTTTTATCTTCACCCGTGGGCTGATTTTGATATCTACCAGTCTACTTAGAGATGGGACTTAAAGATGGGATTTCTTCTACAAATTCTATACAACCTCGCTTAGGGCAAAGATACTTCAGCAGGTACCTACATAAAGTGCTCATGGTAGCAGATCCTAGTAATGGATATAGAGATTGAACGGCACGAAGAAGGAGAAGAAGATGAAGAAGTTGCCCATTCGCAATGGCTGTAAATACTGGCCTTGAACTCATCTTTGTTCGTTGTCCAAATTGGAGCTTGAGATTTCAAGTCAACGTGTTCCATGGGGTACCTACTTCCCACTTTTTTCTTTTCAATAAAGTACTGTCGAAACCCCTTCTGCTGTCGAAACCCCTTCTGCTGTCGATATTTATTACATACGGGCTGGTCTTAGTTGAAACGCGGAAACTGTTCCCTGCTCAAGTTGCTCTACCTCGTATTCCTTTCTCGCGGATTTGGGTACTTCTAAACAATTCAGTCCCAGAAAGTAATATCTTGCTTCCTCCATGTCTTGGGACCATTCTTACACTTGTGCACACACTGCCGGGACGGATTCCTTCACCTTCAGCTTATAAATATCCTTCAACCTCGGTCTCATAGCGTGGTCAACGTTCTCTTGATCTTCCTTTACGAAAGTTGCTGAGGATAACTTCTGATTCATAGTTAGGTTCTCCTCTAAAGATACGCATATATTATCACGCCTAAAAGTAAGAAAGAGGTCAACATAATTGTTCTAATCCATTTTATAAAATCTCAACCTCGCTACCCCTTTCCAACATTCAAAATACTCCTAAAAACAGCTACCTACCAAGAAAGCCAAAAAAAGAAGCTGCCAAAACCGCTAAAGCCTCTAAGAAAACTAAAGACAAGAAGAGAAATCTGCTAAAGACAAATATAGAAATTCAAAGTCTAATAACATCCATCTAGTCTTAGGATCTTACCTGGTAGTAATACTGGTAAGTAAGATTTGTTGTCGAAAATAATTCTACTGTTGAAATATTTTCGCACTTGTAAAGAGTAGAGCTTTTACGAGGGGTTACGTATTTTTGAGGGCAAGGTAAAAGAACTTTCTGTAAAATGAAGCATGAATGATTACTTACGTTGCGGGTATGGGGATAGAAGAACTTTCTGGCTCGAAGAGCGCATGCGACGGCTTCGTTTTCGTTGGGAACACTAATCCTGCCGTACGAAACTATTGCTTGAAAGTCTGTTTAAATAGTCTATTATGATCGATAGAAGGTACGAATAGTCGTATAGGGAGCTACACGATTAAGACTTCCTATTGTTATTATTCTAACGCGATTGCTTCTATTCTAGCTAGTTACGAATCAAGACATCCTCTGGTATTATCTCAGATCCCTGGACAGTATTGAACTCTGTTATTCTATTCTGTTCTTCACGTTACCAAATAGACAGCAGTGCTTCTACACTGAGTAACCAAGACCAGAATTAACATTCGCCAAGTCACCAGAGATGGCTCTAATGTACTGTCTACTACCTCGAAGCCTAACCAAGAATGCGACACACCTTCTTGATATAGTAGGGTCATGGCACTTTGCGACGTCACTGGGGACTCGACCGCCGATGTGTCTTTCAAACTGACTGCCGGCTTCCCCACAATCCCCTTCATAGTCTGTGTCTCGCGAGGGATATTCGGGGCGCGTAGAGCTCTACATACAAAGCGTCGCATTCAAATTTGGGGCGTGCCAAACACAAGAACACACCTTAATTAATACGGCAAACGACAAAAATGCCACCTAATTAATTTTTTGGCGACAAAAATACCACTTGTATACCACTCATTTTTTGAATATAGGTTCCATATATAAATTTGATGAATATAGAACTAGTGGCATATTTGTCGGAAAATGGTAGTATTTTTTTTGTAGTAGTATTTATATTTGCTTTCTAGAGCTTATTTGCTAGCGTTATTCCTTGATTTTAAGTAGCCTCTACTTAAGTATATATTCCTTTGTATATTAACAACCTTAAAGCGTATATAATATACTACCTAAAGAGAACGCTCCGCGCCGTCGCCCACCTTCTGGTACAGGCCACGAAGTTGAAGATATAAAAGTTAGTCGATAAGGCTTAACAGCAAGAAGACTAGAGTAATAGTATTAAGGTTAATTCGATTACGTACGAGGATATTACTTAGGAGCAAGTAATTAAGGCAAATAGATAACAAATCGAGCAGATAAAGCGAATTAAATGCTAATAGTAGCGATAGCGTAGTAGGAAGACGTAATAACTATTACCCTTTTATAACAGAACTACCACTTATAATATAGACATTACTTTACTAACAACTTTACTAGTAAACTAGTAACGTAGTACATAGGTGGTATTTTTGTCGTTATTAATTAATTAGGTGGCATTTTTGTCGTTTACCGTAATTAATAGAACATAGACCGCGAAGGGATGCGCAACTCTACACAAGCACCATAGATCTACCTCTCGTCTACGCGCAGACATATACCCCCCAAAAATTCAACTTCGCCAAACCTAACAACAACAACAAACCACAAAAAAGCAAGCCAACAAACATACATACACACAGATACACAGCACAACCCCACAGCCCAAAACAGCAAAACAGCAAAACTTAAGCCAGCTTACCCCGGTGTAGGTAAGCTTGTTACTAGCCTAAGAAACGCCCTCACTTCCGAACAGAAGTTTATTGGGGGCTTTTTCCAGAACTGAGGACTGTCATATTATCGCACATCTCAGAGATACTATGTCTCCTACCCGTTGAGGGATAGGGCTGTCTTTTAAGTTTTGCTTTTTTGGTAGAGAACTTCATTTGGTATGTGGAGCTGTGAGTGTTAGCTAGTGAATCAGAGAGATTGAGAGAGAGAGAGAACTTACCTGTAGCTTTGGGAAGCTCCAGCGGACCATTTAGGACTCTTTTTACTTTAATTTTAATTTTTGTTGGCTGGAAGTAGAATGCGAGCAGATGCGAGTGTGCGCGTTAACCATTAGGTTATGTGGTTGTTTGTTTGTCGAGTGCCTTGATTGGCGACGGTCAATTGGGCTATAGCGGGATACATAGGCCAGCGAGTGCTTTTTGGACTTTCTTAATTGTGTGCGCCGAGGTTTTGGCAGCTGGCGAGCCATTCAGGTGCGAGTGTGTTGGTTAGTGAAGGTTGGGAAATGAGGATATTCGCTAAGTGAGGGAGCGACGACGAGCTTTTTTTCCGACAAGCTGCACGATCGAAAATGCCACCAACGCATTGCGAGCTCAAATCTTGATGCGGAAACTTTGAGAGACGTGGCGTCACGAAGTCAAAAGTATTTCTCGCCGTCGCTGGTGTAGAATATCTCCGGAAAGAGGTTCATCGTCCAATCCACCCACCTATAGAAACCAAATTCCAAATGTCAGCCCACCCCCCTCTCTCCCATAAGCAAAGGCTAACACCCATTACCCAGTAGTTCGTAAAACTGCAACCATCACCTATTCCCTAAGACGCCAACGCGCTGAAAGATCAGAAAACACCAACTACACCCCCAAAACAGCCATACCCTCCAGCGCAAATCCAGACTGTATATGCAAGCCTCGCCATTCTCCTTCGCAAGCTCACAAACACCATCTCCAGCGACAATCTCCCTCCCTTCTCAGCAGTAGACTACCTAGAAACGCAACAATAATTTGAATACAGTCACCTCCAAACCAGGATCATGAAGAAAAAAAGCTTGGGAATGCACATTGGAAAAAGCAAACGCAGCAACACAATAACAGGGGAACGTGAATACCTGTAGTCAAGTAAAAAGTTTAGGGCAGAAGGCTTGTATTCTCCAATCCAGGAGCGAAACACGCAAGCAAGACGTGTATCGCGCTAGCAGTCATTTGGTAGTTGTCCATGGAATCAAAGTAAAGCATAGGGAACTGATGCCTGACTACGATACTTGAGTCTGTTGAGTTTTTACTTGGCAAAAGGGTAGGTGGGATGAGTGAGAAGGCAACACGTATCAAGCTAAATTGAAGACAGGCGATGTTGATAAAGAAGCGCTATCTATTGGGGTGTCCAATGTTGTTATGACGAAAGAGGGACGGGAATGTGTATGATGCTCTGGACATGTTTGGGTCGTGGTTTAGATAATACTTAAGACCACTGATCTTGTGGAGATGTCTCTTCATACAGTATCATTACACGAGCCACTGACCATCTCAAAATCATTTGGGTTTCTGATCTCCATATCAAATATCAAAATCGAGGATATGTAGTAGTATCGCAACATTCATACCTCATAGTGATTCTGTATTTCATGTTCAAACGAACGTGCTGCTGTAGCAACATCAAACCTGTGAGCTGAAAAGGGATGATCAGCTACACTATTCCATTTGCCTTGCTCTTTTTCTTGGGAAATACCACAATGCCCAACATAAATATTATCGTTGTGCCATGCAGAGAGCATCCCACACAGTTCGAAGATTCCAACTCGAGTGCAAAGAAAGAAATATGAACAATGAGTATAACCATCGGGCAGCAATTGGGCATCAAGGATCTTGTCCTATATCGCGCTTCAAACCCAACATTGTGACAAAATAAAATGTCCGACCAGTCGCATCAACAGATCTTTCCACAACGCAGAGAATCGCATCGATCAGAAAATTCCTTCTTACATCGTGACCACTGGACAGGATGGCTTGATCGCCCTGAGAATGGGAAACACAACGAGAATGGAAATGTGAAAGATGCACGCTTCTGCAGCGGTATCTAGGAACCAAGATCTGTGTGGCCATGAGAAAATCGAGCCCGGACTGATCACAACAGCTTTAACAGAATCTCATCTCGCATAGATGATACTGCAGCAACACAATTCTTTCTGCAGACTTGGGAAAGCATGCAGGCACTTGTCCTCATCTCGTGGTCACTGGACATCGATGTCGAGAGCTCGTTTCAACTGCCGCGTTCCCCTTCCTCCGCACCCTGCTAAGAGGATGTCGTATTGCAAAAGAAGAAGATCCCGCCGAAGTGGAGCGTGCGACTGGAGTATAATTGATTGCTAGATACTGCAAGCTTTCTTAACATGCAACAGCCATACTAGCCTCGCAGCCATGACTGGAATAGCGATACCGGCCTGGAATACGAAAAGCAAGCAACAACCAGAGCAAATTTAGCACTCCACAAAAGAAAGTTCCCATGGCACGGAGCACAGCTCCGCGAGGATTGGACCAGTGACGGACATATCCCCATCGTCTCTCGCAGTAACTTGGCCCAAGTGGTGCCGATTCCGAGAGAAGGCTCAATGGCAGAAGCACGATGGAGACACAGTGGAACCGTCCCCAAGATCGTTGGGGGGGCACGTTTCCACTTCCGGGAGTATATCTGCAATGCACGGGTAGTGTAACGTGGAGTCGTTGAGACGGCAAGGGTATTATAATTTCAGCATTCGTGAAATACATCCAGGATGAAATTCCAATGAATCAATTTGTTTTTCTGGCCGGCCGCCCTGCAGTGCCATGTGTGATACACATGGTACAAAAGCAACTTTTCAGCGTGGATTATGACTTGGTACGCCATGTTCCAGGGAGTATCTGTATCTGTACAGATACGTACAGTACAGTCGAGTGAGGTTGAAATGGAGACCACGAAGCGATGCTCTAGGCTCTAGCCTTTGGACCCTAGTCCGTCTCGTCCATGAAGAGAGATCTGCCCTTCACGCGATTGGTCCATCTTGCGATACGACGCCCGACGCCCAGAAAAGAATCGGTGCACCAGGGTGGGGGCACTAGCGTCGATGCATGGAAATCCACCGGTCAGACACCAGCCGCAAAGATCGGCTCGGTAACGACATGGTCACATACTACAGTAGATATCTGCCATATCCAAATCCGATAGATGGACATGACTAGACGGCGGTAGATCATCGTCACTTTCACCCTTCTCCCATCCCCCTATCCAGATTCCAGTATCCCATCCCGCTGCCGCGGGCGCGTGAAAAGGGCCCGAAGGATGTGAAGCGTCCTCAATCGTCTACCCCGCGCAGTTCAAGGGCACTCCACGTATACTCCAAATATACTTTCAGTATAAGCATGCTGAGCTGCCAGGTACGGAATTCCCAACCTATCTAAGCCGTGCTTAAAGACACCAAAGCAGGTTAAGCAACTGCCGCCACCAACGGGACGAGTAATGTCGTTGCAGACCATGGACGTCAAGTGTCTCTTTGGGTATTCTCCATCATCTTCATCCCTGTAGATATCGTGGTCCTGGACTCGGTGTCTTCTTTACCAGTAAGCACTCAGCACATGGCCACCACGCCGTTGGTGGCGGGCAAGGCGAGCCTGTTCGGCGAGAGTTAAGCGATGCTGCACACGCTCGGCCGGACTGGACCATGGCTGGTATCTTCTCATATATTCGAGTTGGTGGCTGCTGTGTGTAGCGCATGAATGTACGAGTACCTAGGTACACAGCACCGTACATTTCTCGATGGAGGGGCCGAGTCGTCTACATTCTCCGGCACGTGGAAGTATATGCAGATCGGGCGCAGATACGGAGAGGTAGCCCGATCTGCATATACCTAGGTCCAGATAGGTAGATGCTGATGCAGACGCAAACGCAAATGCGGTGGCAGATGAGGTTGAGAGCACTCGGTACACGTAGGTAGGGGCAGGGGGGGCTAAGGGGTGTACCAGTCGGGTTGTATGGGTGTAGGGGTATAGGGAGGAAGGAGCTATTGCTCCCAGGATAGCAGTACCAGTAGCAGCAGTGGCAGCAGTACCAGTAGCAGCAGTGGCAGCAGTAGCAGCAGGCGCATTCTGCAAGGCGCATTGCATGTATGTAGGTAGGTACTGGTAGGTACTGGTAGGTACTGGTAGGTACTGGTAGGTATGTATGGATGTATGGATGTATGCACGTATACTCGTACATCGTTGACAGAAACCACCACCTCACAACAAAAGCACTGGACAATGCTTCTTGTTTCTGTAGGCCAGGTCATGGTGAGAGGCAAGAACGCCCACCCCTCCCGTTCCCGTCACTCCCCGCCGCCTACCTCCAGCTACTCAACCATGTCTCATTGGCCAATTCGTACTTTACTGGTACCTAAGGCTATGCATAGCTCCTGCTACCCTTCCTCCCCTTCCTATTCCCGCCGTCATAGGCGAGGCAAGAGCTAAGTACCTAGGTAGGCTCGGCAGGGCAACTGTAACTGCAACTGCATACAAGTATGCTCCTACCTATGGCCATGACCTTAGCCGTACCTCGATACCCAGAACCATAGCCATACGACACCCATGGTGGAGCTTTCCATTTTTGCTTTTGTATCTGTCTCATCTCCTCAAAGTTACTTCTCCCGTGTGCTGGGTAGTGGCAGTATTTGCATCCTCAGATCGCAAACGAAGAGAGAACTGGAAGTCTATTCCTGACGACATCCTCATCCAGTCCCAGGTATTCTGACCTGACCTGACCTGACCTGTCCTGCAGCTCACTATTATTTCCTTATCTGTACCTCTCCTCCTCCACCCAGTTCCAAGCTTTCAGGCTGTTTTCTGGACGATTGCCTACTAACCCCGTCCTAATATTTCTTTCTTGGTGAATGCCTTCAATCCCACTCGCCTTGAGACTCACTCCACCAGCTGGCAACTCTGCCTCAGTCTCCGCCCACAAATCAAATTCACCCATCTCCTACAGGCGAATCCTTACCGCCTAACTAGCCAATTTCGTCATTGTTGTCCAGCCATAACTTCTCAGCATTTGGCAATTCGCGATTTGCTTCCTCCCACCTTGACATCCATCAAGCTTAACGTCAATTCCACCCACACAACGCCAGAGTTAGGGAAGCGCAGTACGAGCTGCACCCTGCACCAGTGGATTTCCCTAGGAGTCTTCTAGGACACCAATCTATCAACACTACACTGAGCTTGCCTTGGAATGCTCATTGTCAGCTTAGTTTGGAGAGTCCCACGCAAATCGCAAAACCTCACCCTGAGATTTTCAGTACAACGCTTTCTGGCTACAAAAATGGCACCCAAGAATGTCCTTATCTATCTCCTTAGGAGAGACCTTCGTCTTTCTGACAATCCCATTTTTCATTCGCTGAGCAAGAACAAGGATCATGGGTTCACTCACGTTCTCCCCTTGTACGTCTTTGCCGCCCAGCAATTGGAAGTCAAGGGCTTCATTCCTGACGATGAGAATCTCAAGAGTCCTTACCCAGAGGCACGAAGTTCAGTAGGAGGCTTTTGGCGAACTGGTCCTCATCGTGCCAAGTTTCTATCAGAAACGGTGTCTGATCTCAAGGAAACTTTGGAGGGTGTTGGGAGTGGTCTCTGCATCAGGGTTGGCATGCTTAGTGAAGTGGTTGAGGAATTGATTACTGGATTCCAGAAGAATGAGGGCACCAAGGTTGGAGCTGTGTGGTTGACTTCAGAGGAGGGCGTTGAGGAGAAGCGAGATGAGAGAGCCACCAGAAAGGTTTGCGAAGAGCGTGACATCGAGTTCAAGGTTTGGCTTGACGAGAAGTATCTAAAGGATGAGTATGCTTCCTATGTCAAGCATGTCTCAACACCATACTAATTGATCATCCCAGTCGAGATCTACCCTTCTCTAATCCCCAGGACGCTCCCGATGTCTTCACTGCGTACCGAATGACAGTCGAACCGCTTCGTTACGCACTACGCGATGTCCTTCCCACTTCAGCTAAGGGCACTTTACCAGATTTTCCCGCCGATGCTGAGATTCCTGCGCAACATTCGCCATTCCGCATCCCCGATACTGCTGAAGGACTTATGGACGCTCTCATGAAACCTCTTGCGGCCCCATTGATTCCAACTCCCCCAGAATGTCCCAAGGAATACCCGAACTCGCATCCGTTGAGCGGTGGCGAAACCCATGCTTTGGCCCGCCTTGAACATTTGATCACTACTGGAGCAATCAACACCTACAAAGAGACCCGCAACGGTTTGATGGGAACTGAGTTTTCTACAAAGTTGTCTGCATACTTGGTACTCGGAAGCATCACCTCTCGTCAAATCCACGCTTCTCTTGTGGAGTTTGAAGATGGGACGGCAAAAGATGGGAAGTGGAAGGACGTAGAAGGCTATGGAAAGGGTGAGAATGCAGGAACCAAGAGCATTCGATTTGAATTGTTGTGGCGAGACTATATGCGGCTTTGCAACGTCAAGTTTGGTTATAAACTCTTCCGAATCGGTGGTTTCCGAGACAGTGCCGATCGTTGGGTTTCCCCTCAGAAGCCAGGCAATGGCCAGACCAAAGAATACATCAAGGAGATGGTGGAAAGATTTTTGAGCGGAACCACAGGCATGGGTTTGATTGATGCGTCGCAACGAGAGTTGTATTATACTGGATACACATCAAACCGTGCACGTCAAAACGCTGCATCATTCCTGGCTAAGCATCTGTGGGTTGACTGGCGAATTGGAGCTGAATGGTACGAGAGTATGTTGGTTGATTATGATGTATCAAGCAATTGGGGCAACTGGCAATACCTTTCTGGAGTAGGCAATGATCCTAGAGGTGAGGCCAGAATTTTCAATCCTGTGAAGCAGGCTTTTGATTATGATCCAAATGCCACATATGTCAAGACTTGGGTGCCAGAGTTGAGAGGTTTGACTGATCCGGGTGAGATATTTCAGCCCTGGACTGTTCGCGACGAAAAGAAGAAAGCTGAATTGGGTCTGACTGGATTGCCTTCGGTTGAGAAGCCCCTGAAGAAGATCGAATTTACCGTTGGAAAGCGAGGAAGACATCTTGGACGTATCAATCGTGGCGGTCACAGCCGTGGCGGTAGAGTTCCAGACGGTGCAGCACCAGGAAACGACGGCAACCAAAGATCAACTGAAACCGGTGGCGGTCGAGGTGGTGGACAGTCTCGTGGAGGCTACGGCGGTAGAGGCTATGGTGGACGAGGCTTTGGTGGAGGTTCCCGTGGTCATTATCGAGGATTTGGTCGCGGTCGTGGAGAAGTACGAGACCTTCGAACCGGAAACATGGACAAGGACAGAGCTGCGGGTGACAGTTCTGCACCAGACGGAGTCGTCGAATAAACGCTCTATATCGAGTAGATCGCCCAGCTGCCACGAACAATGACTTGATATGGGACCGGATGTGTACATTGCTTGGAGTTTGCTAGAATTTCGAATCTAGAAGTGCGTTGAGGGCGGAGAACTTTGGCATTGAAAGATATCATTTCTAATGGGGATCTTGGCGGGGTATCTTTGGGCTTGTTGCTAGCTATTGCTTCAACGCATGCTACTTGCGCTGGCTTTACTTCTTAACAAAGTTGAAGTTCAGATAATTGTAATATTGTAGGGGAGTTGTAGGTAGCTAGCTATTTGAACGATTATGCGTCTTATACAGGTTATCAAGATATTCTCACTCCATTGATGTTTCTCAATGCACACCGTGATTGCTTTTCGTGATTTCTTTTTAGGAACCTTGTTTGTCTAGAGAGAGAAGAGGAAGAAAAAACTACAAGTCTGTATCGCATCACTTGTTACGATCTTACATTTCATCATAAGCTTAAGCAGAAGTGCAAGCGTTTTGCGATTCTTGAAATGCGTAGGTAGAGGTTATAGAATGGAACATGGAATAGAAAGATGAAATGTTCCTACTTATATCAATTCCAATACAACCATCAATTCCATTATTTTTTCTCATGACAACTTCTACCCAAGTACAGAAGCTGTGAGCGCCTACAACTCGGATTCCCCACATCCTACGGCCCGCACACCGGCCTCGGACCAACCTCGGCCCCGAACCTTGCGATTTTCCAGCTCCTCCCCCATCACCATCACCATCTCGCATCTCCAACATCCCCAAACCACCAATCCAACCACCACAATGCTCTCCACAGCGCGCTGCAAAGCGTCAGGACTCGTCCTTTCGTCATCCTCGTCCGCGCCCTCTGCGACGATCCCTACGTTCCTGCTTCCGGCGCTGGTCTCCAGACCGTTTTCTACGACTAGAGAAAGGGCTTCGCAGATTGGGAAGGCGCCGCTGTCTATCCCGCCTGGAGTGAAGTTTGAGGTTTTTGCGTCGGGGATGGGTGGGAGTGGGGAGAAAATGAAAATGGGCA